TTTGAAAGCTTTCAAAGAAGAAAAGGAAAAATTATCAAATGCAGATCAGTTCTATCTTCTACTCCTTGGAGTTCCTAGGTAAGAGGAATGTTAATGAGAATACAGTAGTTGTTAAAGAAACATACATTTAATTAGTTAAATTAAATATACATATTTTAAACATTTCTAAAGCAGGAAACATCATTTGTTTTAAATGATTCCAGTGTTATAGTAGTCACAGAAGAGTTATAGATGGCACAAAGAAGAAATCTTTTTCTGATGGCAGTTATCTACAGTTTCAGAAGTACTAATATAGTATAAAGAGGTATACTTTAATATCTAAATGAATGGATTGAAAGGTAATTTGATAAAATAAAAATAATGGTTGAATGTATTCAGTTGCCAGTTTAGAATAAGATTAATACAAAATATTTTTACACAAATAAATTATGCCAGCTACATCTTCCTACAGGTAATCCTTAATTTACAGTCATTCATTTAGCACTGTTCAAAGTTACAATGATACTTATATCTTATGACCATCACAGCATCCCCACAGCACCGTCCATCAAAATTTGGATGCTTGGCAACTGGCATATACTTACAACCTAATCCTAACCCTAACTATTTATTTATAAATTTTATTTGCCCCCCATAAGGTAACTCTGGGTGGCTTACAGTCATAAAAATATATCTATATTAAACATAAATAAATTAAAACCAAAGATTACAATCTAAGGACATGCGGGGAGGGCGGAGGTAAAATTGGGGGAACTGGGATCTGTTGTTACTCGATCAGCCATATTCACTGGGCTATTAAAGTTTAAATTATATTAATATATTAATAATGGACTTAATATTGCTACTTTTCCTGTATTGTCCATTGAGAAGTCAAGCATTTAATTTTGTAAGATACATTTAACAGATTTGTTCCATACTACTGATTGTCTTGGAAAATGTTCATTCTACCACTGTTTGGGTGCACAGTGTGCCATGTGGTATTTGTATGATTTCTCCATTCTAGCTACCAATTGAGGATTGAATGTATGCTGATGTGTGAAGAGACTGCTGTTCTGCTGGAGATGTTGCAGCCCAAAGCAGAAACAATAAGGAAGGCTTGTGAAGGTGAGTGATTGTCTAAGGCCTAAGTACAGTTTGGGTGTTCTGAGTTGTCTGAAGAACAGCCAGTTTCTTTCCAATCTAAAAATCACAATTTGCTGAGAAATCAAAGTCTAAGTACCTTTGAAGAAAGCCAAGACTTAAATGGTTTGGTCAGTGCTTACGTAAATGCATAGATCTGTGTTTTCTCAGAAGATCCGCGTCCACCCCTGCAACAGGTATAGAATATTTGTGTTCTCAAGCTCTCCAGATTAGTTAGCCAGTCTTTGAGAATGGAATGAAGCCATTATCAGTTTGGTATGCAATGTATTAATCCCATCTGTATAGCAGCAGCTCAAGCGTTCACCTTTGAAGTAATTCAAATATGCAAGGTAGAAAGCAAAACCTTGGTATGTCTGGGCTTTTATCACACTCCATACTGACAAGTCCATCATACCATTCCCCTTTGGTGTAAATAACTGCAGGCAAAGGAAAGAGAAGGAGCAAGAGATGAAACAAGAGATAGAAAAGGAAACAGCTAAACCTCATTTCCACGAACAACAATCACTATATCTCTACATAGCCACACAGACATTTTTTGTCAATTTCATAGAATCATGCCCTAGTTGCCCCACCTTTTCACTGCATTCACTCTTGCTTTGCATATCCTTCCTGCAAGATCCAGATGGATCTTACTCTGCTGTTGTTCAGAAAAGCAGTGAAGACTTAGCTCTTCATCCAGGGCTAGTGAGACCCCATCGCTTCATTCCATCTAGTCTGTCAAACTTCCCATCTTTGATTGGTGTTATTGTAATTTATTTCTTTGTTGTGAGTTATCCAAAGTCATTGGGTGTCACGCAGCATACATGTTTTATAAATTATTGCTCTTGTTGTGATTTGATCTTCGGTCCTTTTATCTTTATGACCAAACCATTTCAATTATTCTTTCATACTGATCAATCACGTCTATACTGCATGAGACAATGTTTATTCAGCATCCATTTATTCTTGACTGCAGCTCTTCTTGTTTCCTCACACACATTCCTTAAGCAATCCGTTCTCATTGCATTTAGATAATTTTGACACTGAACTTTTACTTTTACAATATACAGCAGAGAGGTATTTTTATATGCAGCCTTTTAAAAAGTTATTTTCATAAGCATTCTTTCCTCAAAATAGGCCACAGTGTATGAACTAGCTTTCTCTCAACATTTGCACATTATAACATTTCTCCATTCATTTCCCACCATATTCTGTTATCTGCTTTTTTTTTCCTTTCCACCTCACTTAGGTGCAGTTATATATAATAATCAAGTTGGAAGGAGTCTCAGATGACAACTAGTCCAAGCCTTGGCTTGGTGCACAATCTGCTATAACATTTGTTCTCACACAATGTTAATTTCAGTCACTTGCTATCTCTATTGTGACTCTCAACAAACACATTTAGGTTCCATATTAATGCAAAACATACCAGTTTAAGACTATTCTTTTTGCCACACACTGTCTCTGGCTTTGCAACACTGTAATAGCAATAGCAGTAGCAATAGCACTTAGAGTTATATACCGTTCGCAGTGCTTTCTACAGCCCCTCTCTAAGTGGTTTAAAAAGTCAGCATATTGCCACCAATAATCTGGGTCCTCATTTTACAGACCTCAGAAAGATGGAAGGCTGAGTCAACCTTGAGCCTAATGAGATTCGATCTGCCAAATTCAGGCAGGGAGCTGGCAGACAGCAGAAGTAACCTGCAGTACTGCATTCTAACCACTGTGCCTCCGTGGCTCTTACACATGATCTCTAATAAACTATACCTTTCTCAACAAATGGAGCCAATGATAATTTCTATTTAGAGGTTTAAATTGTGGCAGGTGTGCAGTTTTTGCATTTACTCTTGCTCCATTTACATTTGCAGAGAAGATCAGTTGTCACTATCTTCTACTCATCAGACCTGGATGTAGTCTTTATATATGCACACACTAAACAAACCACACATTCACTCCATAAGAAAAAAAAAGCTTTTATATTTAAACATTTCTTCAGTTGCCCCATCTAGACCTACAACATTCTTCTTCTCAACATTCTTCCAACATTTATTATTTGTTAAAAAATTGAAAATGCTTATTAAATTGATATTGATATTTTCACCAGGCCATCTGTGTCCACCTATTTAACAGGTTTTCTTTCCTCTTAGATCTCCTCTCAAGTCAACGGTTGCCCGTTTTCTGTCAATTGATCCTCAACGTTGGAAACTTCCTGAACTATGTAAGTGATCTTGGGGAAAAAATGCACATTTAAAAAAAGTGGTGAGTAAAACAGTGTTGTTCTTCTTGCCTGTTTTGTAAATATTGTTCAAACCAACATTATGAAAATAGCAAATATAATATTGTTCATTCTTGTTGTTGTTCTTTTTCTCTGAAAGGGAAGTCACACAGGAGATGCCGATGGCTTTAAAATTGGTACTTTGCTCAAGTTAACAGAAACTAAAGCGAACCAGACTCGCATTACACTGCTCCACCATATATTAGAGGTAGTTTCTGTTGTTTTTCATTGATAAATATAACAATAATGGTAAAATACTAATCAAAAAAAAGTTATGCAGCTGAAATGTATACTAGCCAGAAACATCTAGATAAGACGATATATTCCTTTATTTTGTTTCATTTGTTTGTTTCCCTAATATTTTTATTGCAAAAATATTTGAGGGAGATGGTATTTAATTAAACAGGTGTTGGTCAAAATATACGCACAATATTTTGCTTACATAAAATATTTCTTCTTGACTTTTTTAGTGTTTTTCTTGCTCATCTAGCTTTATTGATGTTATTTGCTTTCTTATTAATGCCAATTTTTGTCAAATTGTTATTTATACTTTTTAACCTTATTTTCTGGCATTAATTATATGGCTTAAATTGTTCCAACGGAATGTAAGATGTCCTTGCAAAATATCAGGTACAGAAGAAGGGCTTAAATTATGGCCGTTCTCTGTTTTAGAATCCATCCAGCCTAGAGATGATTTTTTTTCCCTTCTATCTTCCAAGTAGATCTTTATGGTTGCTTTTTAAACTGATTCTTGAATTTTCACAAAGTTTAACAAATGCATTTTATTTATTTATTTATTTATTTTGTTTTGTTTAGTTTGTCAAACATGTACGAGATAACAGGTAAAAGTATAAACATGGACATGAACACAGGAAATGGGTACAAATAAATGGGGACAATAGGACAGGGACAGTAGAAATGCTGGTGCACTTATGCATCCCCCCCTTATAAACCTCTTGGAAAGGGATGAGGTCCACGCTAGGCAGTTTAAGGTTAAAGTTATGAGGGTTTGAGGATGTAACAACAGAGTCAAATAGTGCATTCTAGGCATTAACCACTCTGTTGCTGAAGTTGTATTTTCTGCAATTGAGTTTGGAGCAGTTTACCTTGAGTTTGTATCTATTATTTGCCGATGCATTATTGCGTTTGAAGCTGAAGTAGTCATTGACAGGTAGGACATATTTGGTAGAATACAGTCCAGTTCATCAAATGTAGTGGCAGCTTCTATTTCTTGGAACGATCTGCCCTTGATATACAACTGACCCAATGCTTTTGGTCTGGATGAAGGGAGTCCCAATTGGTTGAGCTGCAGTATATTTTAGTGTGATCTCCATTCTACTGTTCACACAAGATGCTTGGGAGATTTTGCAAGAACCCTTTGGAAACTTGTTTTTAATTCCCACTCATTGATCCAGATCCCTCCATGGTTAATAGTTAAGCTGAATGCAGTGGATTCAAGGCAGACTTTATTAAATCGGGTAGTTCCATTCATCCAACCGCAGAAAATCACATGCCTCCAGGTCATCCATGGATGTTCAGGAATTCTATTCTCTTTGATAGATCTCTGTTTAACTAAGACTGATAGGCAGCCAGTATTACTATGCTAATAATCTCTGAAAAATGAGTTGACATACAGAAAAACTGCAGCTATCGTAAATCATACATGTGTATAATTGCTTTTTTTTAAAAATTTCTCCCCCTTTTTCTTTTTTTGGTTTAGGAAGTGGAAAAAAATCACACCGATTTGCTTCAGCTTCCCAAAGATCTTGAATGTGTTTCAAAGGCAGCTGGGTAGGGATCACTATATCTTTTATTATTGGCAAAACTAGTTTTATAGATATACTTCTTTCTTATATTTTCGTTGAAAAAAGTAACCTAGACCATGCTTAACAGATAATTTGATTAATCATACTTTAAAGTATGATAATATTCCACATCAAAAACTTGTTCGCGGCAAGGTAATTGAGCCTCCATAATAATAGCCTAAAACCTTTGAAGTTGTTTTTTGCACAATTAGGGTTGTACAATCCCATCACATCCACAGAATTCCGATTTTGTTCCTATGAATCAATAGATGCAGAAACAGCATTTATGGCTTGTTTCTTTTCAGAATCAATCTAGATGTTATTCATTCTGAATCCAGCTCCAATATAAAGAAATTGCTGGAACTTGAAAGGAAGCTGTCATCTTCAATTGAAGAAGTGAAAGCCCAATATGGAACAGCCATTCAGGTTGGTGTAACACAACTCTTAATGCTCTCCTTGGAGGACACCTCCACTGTTTCCATGTAAACAGTTAGCTACTACTACATTTGTGTTGGAAGGAAGGCACTTCCGTGTTGAAAGGATTTGCCAAAGACATCACCATTGCCCAGGGGATGCACAGGGTGCTCTTTTTATGTCCTTGCATATAAGTCCAATAAACCTAAAAACCTAACCTTGCTATTTTTCACACCAAAGTGGTACCTATTTATCTACTTGCATGTTTTTGAACTCCTAGGACAGAAGGAGCCGGGACACATTGACAGGCACTCATTTGGTCATGTGGCTCACACTCTAGGGTTATGAGCTTCCAAGCTTTCAACATCTGAATGGACTTCAGGCTCAGTGTCCTAGTCACATAAGCCACAGCGGCCTCTATGAAGTTAGTTGATCCTTTTAGAATTTCAATTTTAATCTCTTCCAGGAGAGCTTAACTGCGAACCAAAAGCTGGAGGATGAGTTTGAACTCGTTGAAGCTAAGAAAACAGAGCTTGCCAACTATCTCTGTGAAGATCCAAACAAATTGTCTTTGGAGGAGATATTTAACACCTTGAAAACCTTCCGTGATCTCTACATCAAAGCACTAAAGGTTTGCATTTGAGACATTAACAAATAAGATGAGATCTGTTGTGAAACCTCATTCTGATGCACGGCAAAAGTACTGTAAAATCCTTAGGTGGATACAGAGGTAGGTTGTTGCCGGTTTGGACTGGTTCCAGAGAACCAGTGGTAATTGGGTGTGGGTCGTCGAACCAGTAGTGATGGCTGGATGGCCACGCCCCTGAACCTGCTCACTCCAACACTCACCCTGCCTCGCCTTCGCCACATGCATCCACACAACTGCCTCCTAGTGCTTATACACAGCTAAGCAGCATGGGCTGCTTAGGGAGCCCCAAGGCTTCACAACCACCGCCTCCTAAGTGAGATCGAGTCTCTCCACCTCCTCGATATACGAAGGCAGGAGGTGGCAGTTTCATTTGCTGCCTGCAGGTTCCAGGGCAGGGGGTGGCGAGCAACCAAGTGAGCATGCCAGCATCTGCCGGCTGCCTCTAATCTGCAGTTTACTTGTGAGCAAGTTTACTCATGAGCAGGGTGCTCAGCAGCCAGCAGATTGCTGGATTGCTCGCTTGGCTGCTCCCCCCCAACCCCGGAGCTCAAAGGCAGCAAACAAAACCACACACTCTCCTGCATTCAGCTCTGCGCAGCTTGGGTTGTTGCTTTCTTTTGCCTTTTTTAAAAAAGTTTTACAGGATACTTTATTTCCCATCTCCAATCTGAAACATAAATTTGCCAAGCCACACCCATAAAATAAGCCACGCTCACAGAACTGGTAGTAAAAATTTATGAAACCCACCCTTGGATGGATAGTATTGTTTTAGACTATTGGATCACACATACACACAAACACACAAACACAGAAACAAACAAGAGGGTTGCAAGCACACAGCATTTTGGATTTGATTCCAAAACAGTACCTTACAGCACAGGGAGTTGCAGGTGTAACACTTGTCCACATCATTCATAATTTTCGTTGTTTGAGGGAAAAGAAGTCCTAAAATCCATAGCAAATTAAATAGAGTTGACACTACTGTGCACAGTATAAGAGAATATTTAGGCCCATCTCCTCTCCCCCCGCCCCCACCCCATTCCCTTTCTTGCCATGTTCCGCTTTTCTTCCTACATGCACACAGTGCAGATGTGGACATAAAAATAACACAAATGGAAGGAATTCCTGGAGTCTAAAGCTGTTCTATTTTTACTGAGCTGAGCTTCCATCTCTCTGCATCATCAGAGAGTTGACATTAAAATAATACCAGGACTTTAGTTTCAGAATGATTCTTGGGGAACTGATTGCCTAACCAAAATATACACATTCCTTCTTACTGACTCTGTATTTTTCCCCGTGCATTTTCCTGCAAGATTTTGAAAGTGTTTAAGCATTTTGGTGTGTCTTTCTTGGTAGTTCAGCTACAATTTGGATCTCATCTCGTTGTCCCCTTTTTGTGACTTCTTGATGGGTTTTAGTATCTCACCTCTATTAAAAATATATACAGTATTTTATGTTGCACTACTTCTTTCTCCTTACTTATATGTCATTTTATGTATTGATTTTTCTTAGTTCTGATTCCTTGAATCAGAATCTCATGATTCCAAAAGACAGATAGGATATAATTCGTCTTAATGTTGATCTAATTGTGATTTGTTGTATGGCAGACTTTAGCCACAGTTTCCTTCTACAGACATGAGAAGGAACTCTGGTTTAATGAATGAGAAACTCTTTATATATCTGGGCATCCAAGAAGGGAGCACTTAATACATAGTCCAATCCTGGACCTACAAATAGCAGTCTGGCCTGAGCCAGTGACTCAGTAAAGGGAATTTCTTGTAGCAAAGCTAAAAGAAGACATAACTTCTTTGGACTATATGTAGTTCTTGACTTATTACCATTTGTTCATCAATCGTTTGCAGTTATAATGGTGCTGAATGAAGGGCTTACAACTTTTGCCCAAAGTAATGGTCATTGCAGCACCTCCTTGGACAGGTGATCAAATTTCCAGTGCTTGGCAGCCTGTCCACACTGATGACCAAGGACTTCAACTCCCTCCACCAGCCTATCTTCTCACCATCTACATTCATTTGGCCCCCTGCCACCCTGTGGTCTGCTACCCCAGTTGACCTTCACCATCTTCTTCCTCCTATTGCTGATGTGATATACCTGGCCTGGCATTTGGGTCAGGTTGAGCTTGGTTTCAGCTGTGGGGAAAAGAAGACAAAAGCAACTCCTGAGTCAAAACCGAAAAGTCCCTTTGCAAATGTTTCTGGAGTGCAGTGCAGAAAGGCTTTCTGGCACACCTCAGTTCAGGCGATGCTCTTGTCTTCTTCTTCTTTTTCCTTCAGCCAAAGGCAAGCCCTGATTGGGCCAGTAACCAGGCTAGGCATGTCAGGTTTCCAAAATATGCCCTAATTGATTCATGAGCCTCACCTCAGCAGCAGCAGGAGCAAGAAGACAACAAAGATCAGCTGATCAGCACAGAGTGGCAGGAGGCTTGGAGTGCAAGATGGGGAAGGCAGCTGCAGCTGGACCATGAAAGCTGCACAGTTTGCACCAATTTCCTTCCCTACAAGGCAAGGTGCAGGGTGGCCAAGAGTTAGGGGGAGATAGGCATGTGGGAGAAATTGGCGACGCCTCGGAGTAGGGCCTTCTCTGTTGCCGCTCCGGCCCTATGGAATGAGCTGCCCCCAGAGATCCGGGCCCTACCCACTCTCATGGCCTTCCGTAAAGCTATTAAAACCTGGCTTTTCCGGCAGACTTGGGGCTGTTGACCTCTTGATTGAGGTCCAGCCCCTCTTTGATTGGGTGTTAGCAATATAGCAGTAGACTTAGCAATAGCAGTAGACTTATATACCGCTTCATAGGGCTTACAGCCTTCTCTAAGCGGTTTACAGAGAGTCAGCATATTGCCCCCAACAATCTGGGTCCTCATTTTACCCACCTCGGAAGGATGGAAGGCTGAGTCAACCCTGAGCCGGTGAGATTTGAACCGCTGAACTGCTGATCTAGCAGGAGCCTGCAGTGCTGCATTTAACCACTGCGCCACCATGGCTCATGGGTGTATGTTGTGCTTCTTCTTAACTTTGTTGTGTCTTATTGTTTTAATTCATTTTTAATATTTTTCATTTCTGTAAGCCGCCCGGAGTCCTTCAGGATTGGGCGGCCTAGAAATTCAATAAATGAAATGAAATGAAATGAAATTGGAGAAGTACTTTATCTTACTGAGGCTCAGGGCATGGGTGGGTACTCCCTTAACACACACACACACACACACACAGAGATTGTCAGTTGATGATGACAACTGGGACTGCAGGGATGACACAGTCATATCTCATCTTGCTGTATAACCGCATTGCTTACTCGCCAAATCATAAGTCAAGAGCTACTTTCATAAGCAATTTCTTTGCAATGGAAATTAAATAGGCCCAATATGGAGCATTGTAATATGACAGGTGAAAATCAGGCAAAAGTTAGAGCCACCTTTTACATCCCATGTTCCACATACACAGGAAAACAAGGACCGAAAGGAACAAGCAGCCAAAGCTGAGAAAAGGAAGAAACAGTTGGAAGAAGAAGAAGCTAAGAGGCCAAAAGGGGAAGATGGGAAAACCGGTGAGTCATGTAGAAGGTTTTCTTTACTTAGGTTCCATAAGCCTTTATCTGGCAACATGCCCATTGAATTCAACTGAAGTTACTTCCTAATGAAGCTGCATGGAATTGCAGTACTGGGGGGGGGGGGTATTTCATCTCAAATACTGCTGTCACCATGGTTTTGGCCAGATACCTGTTAGGCTAGAGTAAGCTCCAGTGAGTTTAGTGGAAATGTCAGCTAGTATGTTGTCATACTTATAATGCTGGAGTGTTTTAGGAATACCTACATTCAAAGCCATCTTGATGCTTTAAGTGAGGCTCAATCTCTCAGTCACCCAATTTCATAATAGGCTTTTTTGGAGGCAGGAAAAAAAGAAGAAAGGAATGCTATGCACATCAGCTTAAATACCAGGCTGAATACAAGTTATAACGCCAGAAAACAATCAGAATATATATGTATAGATATGTGTCTGTATAAGATAGATGGATGGATGAATAGATAGACACAAACAGACATATATACATGAAAGAGATACACACACAAAGGGACACACAATGAAACTGAAAACAGTTTATTGTTTTAATGCTATTCTTATGCATATACTATCTAGCACCTGTGCATATTCTATCTGGCATCAGTACAATAGAATAATGTGTACAGCCTTGATGCAAGGGAAAAATAATCTCTTTATATGAGAATTTGCTACACTGAAGCATAAATATAACCAATAAGAAAATAAAGTTAAGCTTTCCAGGCAATTATTCTCAAAATAATCAGAACTATAGTTGCACGTTCTGTTGTACTCAAGTTTCAGTGAGAGCTACTAAAAGCTATCTAAATGTGTAATTCTGCTCCCTCTCTCCCAGTTATCTGGATTTCCACTTTATGGACAGAGGTGGGGCTAACATCTGGGCTGTTTTTGTAATTCTTCCAATAAGCCAGAAAATAAAGCACGACACCCCCCTAAAAAAAAAAAGAACCCTGGATGGATGAGATTATTTACATAAATGTGATTAGTTGTTGGTTCACTGCTAGAAATTGCAAGGATAAATTCTCATCAAAGGACGAACATTTGGATTGGTTTTTTTTGCCAGGTTCCAAAACACAATTTGTTTGTTAAGTTATTTTGTATATACAACTGCAGCTCAACGGAACCCAAAATAAAATGCAGTGAAATGTAGGGCCTCCAGTCCAGCCATATTCTCAATCTGATTGAACAACTCACTTTTTTCTCCAAATTCCAACTCTAGTTAAGAAAGAAGCTGTCAAACAAGAGGAGGTGTGTGTTATTGATGCTTTGCTGGCTGACATAAGAAAGGGATTCCAGCTACGAAAAACAACCAGGAACAAAAATGGCGTAAACACTCCCATGAAAACTACACCTCAGAAGGGAAAAGTGATTGGTAAGAACAGAAAATCAGTTTTTTTCCGCTTGCTTAACCTACGAAAGTCCATCTTGTTTCCATCTGTTTTTATTGATGGCCAGTTTGCTTCCAGGTCCAGTTCAAGGGGCTGGTTTTAACCTTTAAGACTGTTTATATTGTGGGCTATCTAAGGCAGTGTTTCTCAACCTTGGTGACTTTAAGTCCTATGGACTTCAACTCCCAGAATCCCCCAGCCAGCCCAGCTGGCTGGGGAATTCTGGGAGTTGAAGTCCACAGGACTTAAAGTCACCAAGGTTGAGAAACACTGATCTAAGGAACCACCTCTCTCCAGTTACATTGTCCTGTCCCATTAGATCCGACAGAGAAGGCATGTTGCAGGTACCTTCAGATAGGAACCTTCATATGGTGGTCCAAGAAGATATGCATTCTCTGCTGTCACACCAACCTTATGAAACATTCTTCTATCTGAAATTAAAGTAGCTCCACTCATTTCCATATTTTGAACACATTCTTATGTCATCACGTCTGGGGCAATTGTAGACTGGCTCAAATGCCTCCATTGTTGAGGGGGCCATTTTACTACTCTATGGTATTTTTTATATTTATAATATTTATCCATATGGATTTTTATATTTTACATTTTTTTTATTTATCTGATGGTTTCTGCACAGTCCAGAGTAATTTTCAATGAAATGAGTGGCTAAATAAATTTGATTATTAAATTAGTAAATAAATCCAGAATGCGGACAAATAGAATTCATTGTCTTCTTTCTGTTTTTTGTCTCAAAGCTCTTTTCAAAAATATTCTCAAAGCGGAACAGCGTGAAGCAGTATCACCTCAGCGTCCAGAAATTGTTTTTTCCTTCTTGTTGTTAATTGCAAATGTTTATGGGGAAAGAGAATAGTATGAACTGGGGATAATATAACTCTAGCTAGCATAGTTCTTTCATTTTTTTTAACGTTAGAACATTGCTTGAAGATATTATTGTTACTGGTTGCACCTGATCCTTTTCCAAATAGAAATGAAAGCCACATTTGGTTGGAAAACGCCCTCATGTGGTCACGTCTAGTGTGAACCGTATTATTAGCAACAGAAATGCCTCCAAAGCAAGCTTGATTCCTGGCAAGTTAAGGGACACGTTTACACTATTTTGGAACCCCCATGGAAGTGGTTTAATCTTTCAGGATTCTTTGATTTTTTTTCTTCCCAATCTAATATACAGTCAAAGAATTCTCTAGCTGTCTCCCTTGGAAGTGCAGATGAGGTCAACCAGGTACTTCCCTACTGGGATAAAGCCGTATCATAGGCCTCCCCAAAGTCTCTGTTCCCAATGGAATGACAACATGAAGTTGTTAAATTTTCCTCTCTCCACCGCTCATAAAGAAACCCATGCATGCACAGACGCACACAATAGGCTTGTGAAACAGAGATAGAGAACGAACACAGGATGATTTAAACTTTGTGTTTGGTAGCTTACAGTCCAGCTGTTGAGTCCTCTTCAAAAGTAAGGTGTTTTTTTTTCTTCACTTGAACTGTACTAAGGTTCAAGATTACAGGTGGGAGCTCAAATGACAGGAATCTATATGCACAAAGTGTTGAAAAATGCATTTTTGGGGGGGAAACTATAACTGAATACTTCTCCTGAAATGATTGTGTCAGCGTTCCAAATATCATGCAGAATTAAATCAGAGTCAAAGGCAAAACTATGCTTAAAGTTCCAATTTAATAAGGCAGGCATGTTGGCATCGTGCTGTGATATCCCAATTCTGGAAGTTACATCAGAATCCCACCCGGTTAAAATTTCATGATCTTGTCCCCACACCCACAGCCCATCACATGGTCCAATCTTCTTCTTCCACGCTAGCACCTACACCCAACTGCTTCCAATGAGGTGCAAAGGTTTGGGAGACAAAAGATGACCTTGAGCTTCTAGGAAGGATATTTTTTTATTTTTAAACAACCATTTTACCCCTTGCTAATTCCCCGCCCCCCTTAATGAGAGTGTGGCAGGCCACACTCCCTTCCCCCTTCCCTTTGGGTTGTGAGCCGCCCTGAGTCCCCCCAGGGAAAAGGGCGGCATAGAAAT